TAGACGTAGTGCCTCCCTTATACGTCTCCAAGTGCGAACATGTTGCTTGCCTTGGCGCCTGCGATTGTTTTGAAATTGCTCCCACTAAGAAGAAGCTCTACTACATAGTTTATAGGCCACGTATTTAACTTGTAAATTATCAGCAATTCTCATTAGGTTGAAATATGTCTCGACCTCAGCAAGCCAATCTAGAAAATCCTCCTCATCAAGATTTCCGCTAAAGAAAGGGAGATCAGCCTTGATCTTCGAAATCCAATCATTGTACCGACCAGGAGTAATAAACTAGTCATTATTTAGACCGAAAGTTAGATCTTTCTCCCCTTCTAAATCTGCATCCAAACCAACCCTAGTCGGCGGATCGCGGGTATTTGCCCCGCCTCCAACAGGTCCTCCGGCCGAGGGAACTGCCTGTTGCTTAGGGTTATTCCCAATCTGCAAGTTCCAAAGTGCCTCCATCATCAACTCATGTTGTTTTGATGATTGTTCCAGTTGTTGTTGCATTTGTTGTTGCATCAATTGGAGTGTTTGGATGATTACAATATTGGGATCATTGTTGTTCTCAGCGATTGCGCCGGATGAACCACACTCTGATACCAACTGACGCAACAGCGAAAACAAAGAAGCCTTACCATGAGGACTTCTTCCATAAACTCAAGAAAACACACCAAAACTTTCTTCAAGAGAAGTTTTATTTAATTCCAAGATATTCTTCTTTGGGTTACATAACTTTTCTTAAATAGAAAAACAAACAAGACTCCTAGTAAGACTAGAATTATAAAAAAAAAGTATCAAATCCTACCCTAAAAAAACTCCTTATGATAGAGGAAACAAATCATGAATCAAAATTAAATCTGTTTCCTAATCTAATTTGACTCTAGCATTGAATTTATTTTCTAATCTAAATTGACTCTTAACTTTAATACTAAAAATAAACTAAATGCTGATTATTTTTGGATTTCAGCCAAAACCAGATATTGCTGATAAGATTTTAAAAATCTAACAATCTGATTAGCTCCGTCTCGTCGAGATAGGCGATTTGCATATATAACATGTCAGAATCCGCCTTCCAAACTGTAAGATATGATTTTTTTTTGTGGAAGTTAATAATACATATAAATCTGTATTTAGCTCGTGATTGCCCGAATTGTAGGCTGTCTAAAAATCACAACAGATATCTTATCCCCATCAAACACCGATGACGGAAGTTACAATTTGACGACTTTCAGAATGCTACAATTTAAAGACTTTCACGTAGAAGGTTACAATCTGATGACCTTCATAACAACTAATGAAAGCTCTAATTCAACAGCCTTCACAATCAACATCGGGAGTTACAATCTGATGACTCTCATATTTTCAAGGAGCCAAGATGAAGGTTACAAGGTGAGGATCTTTACAACGCTCTAGCAAGAGAGACTACAAATTGACGGTCTCTTCATATTAAAACACAGATATCTCTCAAACCGTAAGGAATTTGACAAAACTGATGGAGCAAACCGAACCCTATGGGGTGGGTTTGGTCAGCTCCGTCTCGTCGAGATAGCCGATTTTTATATATAATTCATCCAATTCCGATTTACGGTTTGAAAGTTATGACCTGTTCTTCACAGCAAGTTATGTTCTGAAGTCCGTCTGCAAGACTGGACTTCGTCTGAACATTGGACTTAGGCTGAAGTTCACCAAGCCCGCCAGAGGCTTAGCTCTGCATCCAAGATTCAAAACGCAGAGGTCATGCCCGCGTTCCAAACTCAAAACGCAGAGGTCATGCCCGCGTTCTAAACTCAAAACGCAGAGGTCGTGACCACATTTGAGATTCAAAACGCAGAGGTCATGCCTGCGTCCCAAACTCAAAACGCAGAGGTCATGCCCGCGTTCTAAACTCAAAACGCAGAGGTCGTGACCATATTTGAGATTCAAAACGCAGAGGTCATGGCTACGTTCCAAACTCGAAACGCAGATTTTGTGGACTTGAAACACAGAGTTCAACTCTGCGTCCAACGACAAAAACGCACAGTTCATGCAGAGCCTAACTCTGCGTCCCAGGTCCAAGACGCACAGTTCATGCAGAACCTAACTCTGCGTCCCAGGTCCAAAACGCACAGTTCATCTCTGCGCATCGTGACCTGTGCGTTTTCAGCCTAAAACAGGCTCAACTCTGCGTTTCAGGTCTAAAACGCAGAGTTCGGGCCCAGAACGCTGTTTTCAGCGTTTGACTCGTTCAAGCACGATTTGAACGGTTCCAGAACCGTTTTCTCCCCACGATTTGAGGGGATCACTACCCTATCATGGAGAGATTTATGAGGGGCAGTTACACCCTATTAAACCCTCATTAAGAAGAGATTTAAGGGGACGGTTACACCCCTAAATCCCCTATAAATAACGGGAAACTCAACTGAGTTTAGATCCTCTCTTTTTGGCTGACTTTTTGGGGATCCTTGATCGGGCATCTTAGAGCTTTCTGCAGCAACGAAGTCCTTGGAGCATTCCCTTGGCTGATTAACCGAACTTTCGATTCAAATCAACTCTTTTTCAAGAGTTCAAACTCATTCAGAGTTAAACTCGATCCGAGTTATCAACTCGTCCAGAGTTTCCAACTTGCTCTGCAAGTTCTTCTAAACTCGGTCAGAGTTTCAAACTTGCCACGCAAGTACTTCACAACGTCAAATCGTGAGGAGAAGACCACGTTCCAGTGAATCAAGACGTTCGGATCGTCAACGGAGAGCAACCTCGACGCGAGCATTTGAGGGAGGCATTCCATCGCCACCGTGAAGAACCCAGAATTAAACAAAGGGGAGAATCCAGATCATTCTCCTCTCTTTTATAATCAGAAAATCCAATTGTAATCGAGATTGAGAGAGTTGTAATCATTCTTTTTCTAAGTAGTTAGAGAGAATAAATCAAATACGATTCTTTCATTATTTCTTTTATTACAAATTTTCCACAAACACGAATCCTTCATTAAATTGTCCGTTAAGCGTCCTACATCACCTAATGACCAATTATAAATGTATTTATGTCATCATATCGTTCTTAATTTATTTTATTTTATTTTTTGTGTAACGAAAAATCTTGGTTAGGTCAATAAGGTAATTCTAAATGTGATTTCATACGTTCTTAATTTTCACCTAAGATAAACTATAATCATGCATTAACCAATAAACTACTTGATGAAAGAAATGAAAGAGAGGATTGCAGATCTGGTATTTGTTTGGGAATGATATCATGTGCAAATAAGAAGCATCACACGTGAAAGAGCCAGTGATTATTATTGGTTAAGCATTTAATCTGAAATTAAACATTAGTATAAGTGCCACCAGTGCACAATGTTGATATTATAATTATAGCGAGGAATACAGACATAGTTAATGAAATCACATTCCTTGCCAAGTCAAGCTATATATAGCCGTTTGAGTGGGAGCCACAAAATTCTTTATTCAATATCAAACAAAACCTAAAGTTCTTAACCTGTATCTTTCTTATGTAAGCCAAATTCATTTTTTATCCTCCAATTCTACTTAATCATGGAGTTTAATCACACTAGATAATTATTCCTAACTTCTAGAGCCTTTAACGTGAACCTTTTCTCTTACTTAATTCTATATAATCATTTTCTGTTAAAATTAACAATTATCTTAGTGTTTTTAAATAACAAAAATGAAATAATTAAAAACGACTAGAGTTTCACAATGCTAAAAATATTGCTCAACATATTTTCCAATCTCAAAAAAACCACTTGTGTCAGAACGGCTATGTTTAGAATTTGAATAGCAGTTTGATTACTATAATGGTTTACATGCTGATGTAATATTTTTCCACTTAAAAACAGAAAAATAAAAAACAATCCCATGGGCATAAGACTGATTAAACACCGCCCACATAAAAAATAAATTGGAAGAATAGAAGAGGGTTTAAACAAAGCCCTTCAGAGGACAAAGTGACAGAGTTGTTCCTAAAATTATGCTTGAATCAAGCATAGTCTTTGACTGGATAAGCAAGATGCATGTAAATAAATAAATAAATAAATAAATATATATATATATATATATATATATATATATATAACAATAATAATAATAAAGGAAGGGGAAAAAATAGAGAAAAATCAGTGACAAATGGTTAAGGCCATAAAGCTCTTCACTAAACATGAAACGCTCCTGATATCTTTCTCGATCTGACTCTTTGAGTTGAAAACACGATTATTATTTTCTAAAGCGAGCCAGAAAGTTACATTGACTACATTTTTTTCATTCGTTTCTTAAGTTAATGAAAATTGGCCTTTGTTCTTGCATATGATGAAAGCTCTAATAATATGGCAATAATTTTTCCTTCAAAGCAAAAAGTATGAAGAAGTAACCACCTTAGCTTGAAGGAAATAAAAAGATCAAAAGGAAACAAAACAAAAAAAACAGAACAACAAACTCAAGCGCACCACAAAACTAAAGTTACAGAAAACAAGGGCCCTAATCATAAAGCAAATAACCACAAACGGAATAAACAAAACATACATAGTCAAATCCCCTAATTTATGTGTAAATGAGTCATATACGATGTACCTTAAGGGGGTCTCAGAATCTTGTCCAAATGATACCCATATAAATAGAAAAACTAAAGAAAGGAAAAGCAGATAAATTCATGATATGGTGATTATGAGTATAATGATGGTTAGAAAACCAAGACTCAAACCCGTGCAAGCTATAATCATAGCATCAACATGCCCAAAAGCAAAGAATGAAATATTTACAAATATATTAAAGTTTGGTACTTGGCCTAACATAATATCCTCCCTTTCATCATTACCTTTATCCATCCAATTTCAAGTGAGAAGCTCCCCTTTATTAGACAATCTCTGTATTTTTTTTTTTTTGCTTATACTTCTCATTGACTACATCTCACCTACGGGCCATATTGAGACCGCGGCTTATTTCGCCGTTTCGATTCTCCTCCCCCCCCGCCGCCCTCAAGAAGTTTAAAAAGCTCACCAATCTAAACGCTCATCAGGAATGCTCATCTCTCTCCTCACGGTCTCCGCCTCGTTCTGCCTCTCTTCAGAGAAAATAGCATTACTCCTCCTCTCACTCTCTCAATCGTCTCTCTTCTCTCTCTCATGGCTCCCTTCGCTCTTCAAAGAAATGAAGGGAGTAAACTTCTCTTGTGTATCACCAGCATCAGCTGCAGTGTGCACAAGCATCGACCGCCGTTCAATGGTTCGTCCTACAATCATTGGACGGTCATCATCTACCGGTCGACACTTGAGAACCAAGTCTGTCAGTCAATTGCCGAAACCTGCTGGCTCAAAGCCTAAGTCTTATAACACTGAAAAGTTTCGAAAGAGCTTAGATTACAGGCATAGTGATCTAAAAAGCCCTGCAGACTCTTCAAGATATTTGCTCGACGATACAACTTTTATCGACATGTATCCTGAGTTCGAGCCAAAATCTTCATCCTTGACGGTGTTCGATCATGACAAGGTTTTGGCACGATCGCCGATATGCACTGGTACACCAAGGCTTTTTAGGCCTATGAAGGAAAATGAAGCGTCTTCAACACTTGTAAGGTCATCTTCTGCTAGAACACACCAGAACAAGGCTTTAGCTCAATCTCTAGTGAAAAAAGACGATACATCGACATCATCTGCTCCAAGGCCTTCTAATTCTACTAAATCACATCATGATCAGGTTTGATTCAAAAGTTACAAGATAGAAAAATACAATATCTAATAGTAACTATATTCTAATTAAATTGAGCTCTCATCTTTCCTTAGGTGGTGGTTTTAAGGGTGTCATTGCATTGCAAAGGATGTGAAGGGAAGGTGAGAAAACATATATCTAAAATGGAAGGTAAGCATTATATTTGCCGCATATTTTGTGTATATATGTTTGATGTTATATATGATAGTATATTAAGCTTATATTGTGGATATATATATATAGGGGTCACATCTTTCAACATAGATTTTGCGACGAAGAAGGTAACTGTGAAGGGCGATATAACGCCGTTGGGGGTTCTTAACAGCGTTTCGAAGGTGAAAAACGCGCAATTTTGGCCATCTGGGCCATCTAGCGCATGAACAGATTGTATTATGTAACTTCATGATGATGTTTGTAAAAGAGTAGTACTGAATGTTTCCAAGCGTTTTGTGTATGAAAAGACTAGAAATCGAAGGAACGACCTTTGGTTTTCCTCTGCCTTTTGCTTTTCTCTCTCAGGTTCAAATTTAGCAGAAAGGGTATCGTAGCCACAGTCCAAGTTCACAACTTTGAAGGTTCTTTTGTCCAAAGCTGGATAACTTGAAAGGATGCTAAGGGATGCAATTTTATGGTATGAGTGGGCGCTTTATGTAAAGTTCTGTTTTATACTTTTCCTCAATCTGAGACCCTTTGTTGATTGTGCTGTTACTTTCAACAGCCGGAATGAGTAAAACTTTTTCTAGGAGTAAGGGCCATTCCTAGTGTGTTTTTTTTTTTTTTTTTGGATAAGAAATTTGAACATAGAGTATATACCCAATTGCGCCATCAACAAGATAGATTTTTTTTTAAAGTTATAATTGCATTGATTTTCGTATTGTCGGTACTTATTTAGTATTATGTTTGCCCTGGTATGGTATACTGACTGTACTAATTTAAATTTGACAGGAAAAGACATGTAGTTTCCTCCTTCCTTTCTATATGATTTTCTATAGGGTGTATGATTCTTTCCACCTTTTTGTGACTGCTGTTGTTAATTAGGGGTTCATAATATTAAAACCAGAGACTAGACCAACACTCATCAACTCATTTGCCACATTTTTGTCTAAATTGAAGGCCAGCATCCAGGTCAGTTATCACAATGATGGGCCTTTTTCTGATAAAATGCCATACCTCCTTAAAGAAGGAGATTGAAATTCTTAAAGAAGGCAGAGCTCACAACCATCAAAACCTCGCTCATAAATAATCCAACAGTACCCACATGAGCATTCAAGCAATCCAAGCTGGTATTTTGTCTCATGTCACAGATATACACCGAGCTAATTAAGCTTCAGCATGTACACATGCGACCTGTGTTATTTGGGAACAGCTTACCCAGCAATAATCCAAAGAATCCAAATTTTTATACTAAGTTCAAGATATACGTCATATGGACACTTACTATGAGGCCACATCTTTGTTTTACCCATGTCAGACCCAAAAAAGATACTGTTTAGAGTATATGAAATTATAACCATCAAACTTCGTCGTAACTTTAGAGTTTTGATGTAGCGGAAGATACATTAAGATATTATCAAAGAAACCCTGGTTTAAAACCCATACATAAAATAGTCCGTATTTCTAGCCCATGAGAAGGAATCTCGACCTACAGAAACATTTCAGAGTATAAAATTATAGCCCTCGATTTTCATCTTAGAAATTCAGAGTTTTGGTACAGTGAAAAGGTAACTTTAACTTACTACGTACTATTTTACAATTTGTGGTCTTTCCATACGTTCTCTGTGTGTTCTTCCTACATCACATGTTCACGTCGATGCTTCTTAGATCAAAACTGAATTTACCAAACATCGATTCAGTATCTCTTTAAAGGGTTTTTTTAGCTACACTATGTTTTTGATAATTACCACTTATGCATATCCGGTACCTCTGATAAGATTCTCAGATTATTTCCACCGTAAAACATTTGATATTCCAACCATTCTTCAAGCAGTCCAGTTTCAATATCACAATTTGAAGAGGGTTAGGTATAGTAACCAACACAACAAAGCAACTCCATATATCGTCACACATTCCTTTTCTTGTATCCTAAATATATAAATCTATCTTGTATCCTAAATATATAAACCTTTGCTTTTCTTAGTTTGAAATATGTAGGAATACCAAATCTCTAGTTCTTGAACAAGAGCTCTTTATTAATATGATCCTATCCTTCTCATACAAGAAAATAAGTCTGGTAAAGGTAGCTAAAACTAACTAGTCAACTCCACTAAAGGAAAGCTTAGCAGACAACTAACCTTCAAATTAACAAAATTAACATGATAAACGTAGTGCTAATTAACTTAGGTTTTCTGTACAATAAGATGTAGAACCTCAAAACTCCTTAATACCCTCAAAATCGATCAGTTCTAATACAAGAAGTTGTTAGCTCTATATATTGATATAAATTACTCATCAAACTAATACAAGATGGAGTAGATTATTTTCCTACCAAATCCAACAACAAACCATTAACCACTTCTCTAATCTCACAATACTCCTCATATAACTTCATCCACTTAATCGCCATTTCAAAATCCCACCCCATAATCACTCCTCCATGTGCATGGAAAACTTGCCGTTTCTCCTCTTGTCCATTCTCACCATCACTTGCCCCCCAGTCTTTGCTCGTCCCCTTAAGAAAACCGATAATTTCATTACCTTTTTCACTAACAATATGTTTGAAAATTCAATCCCATTCTCAACGCCCATGACCAATAATAATGGCAAAACTCCCTTCTTCCACACAAATGGTGATAAGGCTAGAGGAAAACCTAAGGGGCGTGTTCGCAGTTTCTCTAGTAGAGGAGAAATACCCTTAGGTTGTGTTAAACGTATTATTTTACTCCCATAGAGTTTCAATGATATTCAAGAATAACAACAAATTTCTTTTCTTAGCAGGTTGGTTATCGGTCATCACTAATGTACAAACATTGGAAATTGGGAATATGACCGTGATTGAGGAGGAGCTAATAAGCACGTCTCCGTTGAAGGGTAAAGTTCAAGGGATATATGTGGCAAGCTTGGGGGATACAAACATCAGTATGTTGGTAATTAAAGCTGTTTTTGATGGTGGAAGATTTCAGAATAGCCTGAGATTCTTCGGGGAGTTTAAGCCAGGTTTGTCTGAGTCTCATATAGCTGTCGTTGGCGGTAGTGGGAGATATCATGGTGCAAATGGCTTTGCTATAGTGAAGGCTATAGATGAGGGAGTTTTCGAAGGAATGAGGAAGAAGAACAAGCTCTTGTTCAAAGTGTATATCAAGTAGTACGTGAGTACAGGTTCAGATAATATGTTTATTTATGACTTAATGCTTAAATATCAGCATTTTACGAGGAAATCATGTATTTGTTTCGTTAATGTGTATGGAAATTTATTAAGCATGTACTGAATTTTATTGCATTTTGATTTGGATGTGTGAGGCTTCAATATATGGAAATTCCTGCTTACCCTGATGGAATATTCTCAAAACATTATCTATTCCTTAGAACTGAATTTAATTGACAAGTATTCATAATAATATGCCCCGTGCAGATGAAAATCCAAACTAGAAGTATGATTAATTGCAGTTAGAAACACATAACTGATTAACTATAAGAAATCCTACTCTTGCCCCCCCCCCAAAAAAAAAAAAAAAAAAACCACATAATACATTATGGTGAACATGTAAAAATATAAACTAAATAAATGAGGAACCCACATAATAACAAAACGGAACAAAAGAATAAGAATATGTGTAAACAAAAGTTTTATCTTGCTAGTTTGGTTCATTACGAATCAAAATTGATCATGAGATGAATTAATCGAAACATGAATGAGTTCAATGAAGAAAAACACACTCACATGTCTTTTTTACTTAACCATATGATACAAGCTACAAAATCTTAAAACATTCCACTTTTAGCTCTCCTCATTGAGTCTTTTGCGGAAGTCAGTTACCATAAGAGGAAGTCCTTCCCTCAAAGAAACCTTTGGTTCCCAGTTCAGCAACTCCTTTGCCTTGCTAATATCTGGCTTTCGCATATGAGGGTCATCTGCAGTATTTGGTTTAAATTCAATAGTTGCAGTTGGATCAATTGTTTCTTTCACAACCTGAATAAAAATAACAAGTGAGTTTTTTTTTGGATGAAAGATTATAAAGACATTATGATCTTCTAAGTTATAATTCATGGACAAACCTCAGCAAGCTCCAGCATGGTGAACTCCCCAGGGTTTCCTAAGTTAAAAGGTCCAACATGATCACCTTCCATTAGTGCCATTAATCCTGCAACCTAGTAAATTTTTAGGGAAAAAAATTATCACAGTTAATATCGCTATGTATCAAACAAATGTAGTATCTTTACGATAAAAAAATGCAATACATATCATATCCTTCTTAATTGTCATCAATAAGTTTATGATATCTATGTGAAATTATATGTAATGATGTTTAATGTGAATTTAGATACATTGCCTCTTAAGCTATTAACCTCAATTGGAAAGTTCCTTTTTAGGTTCAATTAGACAACAATATGCTGAATAACTGTGAAAAAATGGAGAGCTGAGTGGTGTGGACTACATAATTCAGTTCAGTGGAGGATCCATATAGTCAATAAGTCGAGGACTCGATAAGGAACAAACACAAAAAAGTACGAACTTGAAACAAGAAAAGCAATGAGGTTATGATAAATATAGACAATAATATTGCTTTTGAAAAACTTCCTTATTTATTAAAAATTCTGGCACATGATGTATGCCCATAACGCATGATTTTCTAAACATTAGCAACAAAAATGGCAATGATCAAACAAGAATTGTTCTCAATAGCATACATGTAGTTCATAGGGAAAAAATATTAAAGGCATAAAGATATGAAACAATACCAGATCAGAAACATATTGGAAACTTCGAGTCTGCTTTCCATCTCCATAAACAGTCATTGGTTGTCTACGTAGAGCCTGTAAAAATAAATTTAAGAAATTCAAAAATCATAATTGCTAAGTTTTTTGAAATGCATATGCAAACATGGATGCATAAAGGATTATGCATGCTAAAAGTGTTTAGTGAAGACCTGAGCAACAAAATTACTAACAACCCTCCCATCATCTATGCACATCCGAGGCCCATATGTATTGAAAATACGCGCAATGCGCACCTGAAAGAACCATTATAGAGATTAATTTTCCATGAAGCAAATAGAAGATTATAACAAGTTCAATAATGATCATTATTGCTAGAAATGCATTCACATAATATTATTAGGATCTACTTTGAGTGGTGGTGAAATGCAACAATGCGGAAAGTTTTACAAAGATTATGTTGGTGATGAGATAGGACGAGCTTAATGTTTATTGGGGCATTTCATCGAATAGTTGGCATCAAGTGTTGCCACATTATAAACAGGCAAAACACTGGAAATTTTCATTTTTGTACTGTCAAATATTATTTTCTAACGGAAAAATAATAATTATCTGGTATATATTGAATTGACATGGGAAACGACACACCATAAACTAGTACTAGCTTCATCAAGAAACTGTATGCATATAACATTGACTAGGAAAGAGTATATAGTTTACCTCAAGCCCTGCACCTCTGTGGTAATCCATAGTCAAAGTCTCAGCGGTCCTCTTACCTTCATCATAACAACTCCTCTCCCCTGAACAAAAACCCAAAACACCATCAAATAAACTAATTAACAAACTATTTGAAAAAAAAAAAATTTAACCAATAACAAAAACATTAGCAAATAGCCACACCTATGGGATTGACATTTCCCCAGTAAGTTTCTTTCTGAGGGTGCTCAAGTGGGTCTCCATAGACTTCACTGGTACTTGTTATTAGAAATCTAGCTCCAACCCTCTTGGCCAATCCCAACATGTTCAATGTCCCCATCACATTTGTCTTGTAATGTTAGTCAAGGATTTCTTAAATAAATAAATAAATAACTAGTGTTTTAGGGCACGCAAAATATATATGCACGACACAAATTGTTAAGGGAACCGAATGTTTGTCATTTTTATTCTTTTTCTACTGTTTCAGAGTTAGAAATTCGGTTCTGCTGATTTTTCAGGTGTGAAGACATTTTCGGATTACCACAGAACAAACAATTGGGATGAGATCCGACGAGTTTCGAATTTGAAAAAAAAAATTGCGTAGGAATAAAGGCTTTGCTACATGGATCCAAAATATAGGACCAACAGAGGACATGTGAGGTGTCCCCTCCTATTGCATAATGAGCTGACCAACAGAGGGACATGTGAGGTGTCCCCTACGTATGTTGATCTCATATTTTGAGTCATTGGAGAATTTTTTTAGGAATAAATATCGCGGGAGAAGGATATGATGGTCTTGATGGGATTGAACTTGTAGTGCACCGGCGACGCGGGGCACGCGAGGTGGTAAATCTGATCCACCTCCAACAAGATGGGCTCCACCACGTCGTGCCGGATCAGCTCGAACCTCGGGTTCCCCAGGTGGTGCGCCACGTTCTGCTTCCTCCCCGTGAAAAAGTTGGTCCGATGACGATGGACGCGTGTCCCGCCCTCTCCACCAGCGACGGTCGACGAGGTGGGACCCGACGGGAACCCGCCCAGCCGGTGACGCAGCCAACCCGGAGCCCTGGCCTCGTCGACCACCGACGGGAGCGCGGCGGAGCGGCGGGGCGCGTGGGGAGACGGAGGCCCGAGGCGACGGCCGGCGAGGAGGCGGAGGTGCGCGCGGTGGAAGGAGGAGGGGCGGGGGGAGTCGAGGGGCGGTAGAGGGAAGAAGGAGGAGGCGATGAAGGCGCCGATGACGAGGAAGAGGAGGCGCGGGAGCGGGAAGGAGGAGGGGGAGGAGGAGGCGGAGCGGGTGGGAGGAGGGGCGGTCTGGTGCGCTCGCAGAGGTGCGGTATGGGCCCCGACGCCGACTGGGCTGTTGTAGAAGGCTGCTTCATCGAGCGTGAGGGGTGGGTGGGTGTGTGGGTGGGGGGGGGGGGAGGGGAATTCTGGCTGGTGTTCGCGGCGGCGCAATGTACCGCGAGGAGGGAGGGTGGAGAGGGAGTGAAGGGGGCGGAGGTAGTATAGAGTTTAAGAGAGGGAGGGGGGCACGGTGGAGGGAGGAGAAGGAAGGATAGGGATTTTGAATCCGAGAATGTTGGAGATCTTGCCTCCTGCTGACTGAGGAGCTGATGTCGTCGATGCTCAAGTGTTAGAAGTGGGCTTGGGCTGGAACGGTTGGCCAACTGGGCCGGGAGAAAATGGGATTTTTTCCAGCGGCGAACGTACGTGGAGTTGGCATGTCCAAATCAACACCAAAAACGATCACAAAAATTAAAACAAAATCTTATTTAACGGGCTAATAATTTAATTCTTCGGCTTAACAAATGGACAAACTATGTTAATTCTTCCCTCCAAACTACATAAACCATAGGGAAGTAACAATAAGGAAAATATCAATAGGGTATACTTAAAATTATAACGATGACGTATATTTTTTAAAGACAAAAAAAAACTGGTAGTCAGAATTTAGACTGAGCTAAATGCATTCTTTTGATGACCCGTTTTCAAGGCCCATGCCAAGAATGCAATTTCGAAATTAAACTCCATTCTAAGTCTACCATTAAATTCAATGGTCGACGTCACCGAAAAAAATAGATAAAATCAATACATATACAGTATAAATAAATAAATGTATTTGACCATATTCTCTACGCGCAATATTGTAATCCAGTGAACTTTACGGGTTGTTGATAGTATTTTCTTAATATAACATGCATTTATATACTGCCTTAAGGCTATGTTTGGTTTGAGAGAAAGGGGGAGAAAAGAAAAAGAAAGAGAAAATAAAAAGAAAGGAAAAGAAAAAGAAAAGAAAATGATATTCTTTTTATTGTTTGGTTAGAAAGAATATTGTAAGGAAAGTTAAAAGAAAATTCATAAGAAAATCATTTTCTCTTGTTTGGTTGTCTTTCTGAGGAAAAGAGGAAGAAAATTATCACAACATAATTTTAATTCATACTTTTTGGATTTAAAAAAATTAGCAATTTCCTAATACAAAAACTTGAGTGGCTATCAACATCGAGTTTGTAAATATTAACAAGCAGAAGCACAACCACAATTCCGCTAATTAAAGAACAACATTTCTCACACATAATATTTGCAGAAAGAAAGGTCAATGAAAGAACCAAAACAAATCAAAAGTAAATGTCATGATATTCCTAATATAAAGTATAATCCATTTCTAGTCACAAAGTCTATTACAATCAATTTCATAAAAAAAATCTTAACCAACAAAATCTATTACAATCAATTTCATATATAGAGAATCTTAACCAAAGAGAGAGAAAAATATGCCGAAGTCCTTGGTTTTTGACTTTAGTGAGCCCATCAAAACATCAATCTCGCATCCTTCATCCCCTGAAATTAATTCAAAAAATTTCAAATAAGTAGAATATAAACATCAAAAACCTATAAAATTAGCAAAACATATGCATAATATAACTACTATATGTTAGCTAAACCAAAAGAAGAAAAATGATAGTGATAAAACCCTTCCAAGGAAAAACCATCACATGACAGTGATACATACATTCGCGATGACATATTCATGAATATACATGCGATACATGGGACAATGTGGGCAACAAGATTACTTGCTAACATGTTTGAAAATCTGAATTGCGAAATGAAGTTGATGCAAGACTTCAGAATTCACCCGGATCAAAGATTAATTTCAAGCACGGTGTACCCAACATCGATAATCCCAGTCATTTTTTCAGTTGGAATCATAAAGCTTCACAAAGAGAGAAATCACATCACAAATAGGGTTATGTGAAGAAAGCAAAAGATGTCTTTTGGAGGGTAGAGTAATGAGCAGGCTCTGATTTGTGTCTGGAGCTTCACATGGCTTCAAGACACGAATGATGAGAGAATTGTACCATTTTCCAGCCTGATTGATGAAGCAAAAGGGATGGCTGTACCTTTTTCCATGCACTATGTTAATTAGCATATCCAAGCCTAGACAAAGGAGAAGCTGGAGAGGAGTTCGGTTAAATTTCAGTGGCTGCACTCTGCCAGTTATTACCTTATCAGTACACTAAGCAGTAGTTGATGAGTATATATGAGACCTGAATCTGGCAATTATATGCACAGCTACGGAAAAATATGTTTACTACACATGAAAACTAAGCCTTTTGGTAAATTTGTAGAAGGTATTGTTGGAAACAGAAATGTTTTGAGTTCAGCAAACATGGATAAAAACCAATAAGTTTTTATCAGTTTTGTCATTATACCTTAAACTTATGAACTAAGTGGTAAAATGAAAACATGTAATTAGAGTGTAAATTAAATTAAATTACCTCCTAATACTCTGCTTGAAAGAATTTAAGCAAAAGTGAACCTGAATTTACGAGCAAATAAACATCAGCTTATGCTTGCTGCCTATTTGAAAAAGCGTTCATACGCAACTCAGTCCAATTTCACTTGCAATAATTTCAGCAAACTGAAAGTAATTCAAGCAGAAGAACTATCGTACATATATGCTACCATTGTTCTAAACCGGAGCAGACATTGGCCTATTGCAGAAACATGACCAGAGTACAATTTAGATAAAAATAATAAATGACTAATTATTCAACATACCTTTATGTAATCTTCCCAAACTTTTGGCTCCGCATCCATCATCCTTGTCACTCGATTAAATGCAAATCCACTAGAAGAATTCTGCATGTCTTGAAATGCGCCCATATCTTTTTTAAGTGTCTTCAATCGGTTTTTAATATGATCCACTTCAACCTTTATTCCACATTTAGCATATAACTCTGCACATGTTGCTTGATAAGCATGATATGAGAAACTTCGATCGGGCTTTTGCCCTTTGTGCACTTGTTCTCTCAATGTTTCAGTTAAGCAAATATCCATCTTCTCTGTCCATACAATATTTTTCTTTGAACTTGATTGACTTCCAAGTTGTGAATCCATATGAACGGCCTGCTTGTTAATATGCAACATTACTTAAAAGATTAGTATTTGACAAGCGAAGCATATATATATAAATGCAACTAGATACAAAAGTATGGAAAAGCTTGATATCCTGGAAAAGCTATCTCCCTCTTCCAGGAACACAAGACATAAGGAAGAGGGAAAAAAACAATGAGGAACTTGAAGGAATAGAGAACCATACAGTGATAAACATAAAGAACCAATTCAATGAAAAGGTAAAAACAAAATCATATATTCAAAGTTCACAATTCATTAATTTGGCAGCAATACATACTTGTTATATGAAAACAAATTGCAATAATACATGCCATTTTTCCAATATCAACAAGTTCATGCATGAGAATTCTATATATAGCAAATTAATTATATATAGCTATCTATATAGAAAGCTAAAATTACTTGTGTATCTGTGCACATAGTACTATATTTAACAATTTTTATCAGAAACAATTAAACTGAATATATGCAACCTGCACAAACAACAAGAGGGAGCTCAAATAACCCATCATTGGACATCTTTGGCCTGAATACCAACTTCTTCAAGAACTTATCAGCCATTGAGAGCTCACCAAGCTCTGAAAGTTCACAATTCAGATGGATTCCCAAATAATGAATTAGAACAAAGAAATGTGATGTTTAATTTACACAGAACCTCATTAGCCTAAATGCACAGAACCTCAATATTGTGAAACTGTAAGTTGTTAAATTGCAATCTAATAATGTGACCAAAGAGTTTAAATTCCTCTTCTTAACATTTTCATTCTGTTGGTGCGTGCGCACACGTGCAACAAATTAAACTTCAAAAAACAAATATGAACAGAATTTACCTCGGATGAATTTGTATTCATGTTGACAGAGAGATCCAAGAGAAACCTGCAGTAGAATCTGGAGCGGTTCCGAAAAGATCAAAGATATCACCAAAGACAACCTAATTGCGAGTGAACAAAACGAAAACATCAATTCAGATTTAGTGATCATCGATTTTGCCATTAACTACAAAGCAAAAAAAGGAAAAAAAACATTTGAAATTTTCAAAAAACAAATAAAGAGCACCATCCTGAATAAAAACTGATTATTGTCAGATAACTTCGAATAAATTCAAAAATACTTCAAAAAACAAATAAAGAGCACCATCCTCAAGAGATCCAAGTGGATGTAATTAGTCAAGTTGAATGCCGGGAGTAGATTTTCGAATAAATTCGAAAATACTTCCTTCAAAGAGATAATAATGTTATCCCATTTTAAGTTTTAATAATAGTAGTTTATGTGCTTATGACAGGGGAACGAAAGAACCTGCAGTTAATTGGCTATGACCTGATTCCCATTTCGCGTATGGAGTTTCTTTATGTGGTGTTATTTTAGGATAAACGACACAGCATCCTTATTTAACAAATAAAGAGTGATTTAAGTAGCATAGACACTTATCCAGCTCTTCAATATACACACAAAAAAAAACTATTATAATTTATAACTGAAATTTATAACACTAAGCATTTACAAGCCAATAACTGAAAAGATAATTTACTCGAACGAGCAACTTAACAAGAAATGTAGGAATTGGAGTGAACATTATCTCTAAAAATCAGAATACAAGTTTCAGTTATAGAAAAAAAAAGCCCATTTGCTTCCCCTATCACATGAAACCCTTATTAACACAACATCATGGCTCCTGCATGTTTTCAGACAGGATGAAATAAATATTATTAGTGTTCGGAAGTGCAAAAGGAAGCAAATAATCAATGTGGACTGTTGTTAATGTTCCTTTATTTCTCTAACTTCAAAGTAAACAAGGTGGTGGATGAATATAACCTTTTCCTTTTTGTGCCTGGTTATTTCTTTAGCTGTAAGAATAGTATAAATTGAAGGTGATTTTGCTGAAGTATAGAACAAAATCCATAGAAGAGCATCCCCACAGAACAAAATCCATATAAAAAATAATTACGAGCTCGAATCGAAGCTCACCTTGGTAAATGCATAGTACTCAAAATTTGCAGATAACAAGAACTTAATAATACTTTCTCGAGATTCATTCAAATAGAACTGCATGAGAAGCATAATTAGGAGCATTTTGGATCGAGACCAAAACAGTACTGAGAAATAAACTAAATGTGGGAATAACCAAAATCCTCTTCATGAAATTAGCTAAAATTTTAAGATCTATTCCCTCACAATTGTTGACTAAATTGCCTGGATCCAAAATCGCAGCATACCAATCCATTCAAAATCTCGATCAGAATCTCATATTTCCATCAGATCGCTGGGTATACACAATATTCCCATAGCTAACAATCGATTCAAAATCTATACGAACAGTATATTGGAAACATTAACTAGGGTTTCTAAGGTCTTGTTCAAACCTTACCTTATCTCGGCGTCGGCGTCGGCTCGACAGCGGGAGGCGGGAGGTGGGAGCCGAGGATGCGTCGGCGTCGGCTCAACAGCGGGAGGCGGGAGGCGGGAGCCGAGGATGATAATTTGGGGGGAGAGATCGGGATCGCCGCGATCGCGTCGGGGGATTTTTTCCGAGAGAGAGAGAGGGGACTCGAGTTTGGCGACGAGGAGAGATCAGGATCGTCGCGATCGCGTCGGGGGATTTTTTCCGTCACTCTCCCTCGTTTTCACAAGGGCAGCGGAGAGAAATGGGGAACGAAAAATTATGTGTCTGTTTTTCTGCAGTGAAAATGATTTTCGTTTTCTTTTTTGTTTTCTTTTAAACCAAACACCAGAAACTCACTTTCTCTTTTATTTTACTTTCCTTTCTTTCCCTTTCTCTCAAACCAAACATAGCCTAAAAGAAAATTTGCTAGCTACGACTTTCCCGGAAAATAATAATAATTAAAGTCATCCTAGGGAAATAATTTTCCTTATTACAAAAAGTCAAGAATACATCCTTCGTGGTTCTCTTTTGTGGATTTAAGAACTAATCTTTTGTCATCTAAGGGACCCAGGAGTTATTTTTGCATACAGAGGGATCTGGGAGCAATTTGTGCATACAGAGATTCAGGTCTTATACAAGCTTTCCTCATCTTCCATTCTTCATTCATTCTCTCTAGTCTCTCTTATATAAATAAATACATGCAGTAATAATTTATCCCATCATCTCTCTTCACCATTAACAATTCTTCATTATTTTGGCTGCTCCTCTCCTTTCTCATGGTATGAGCCTCCCTCTCTCTCTCTCTCTCTCATTAACTTTTCAAGTATTTTCTTATCTTTGTTTTTTTTAATAAATTTTGAAGGCTGAAGCAAAGGAAGATATCAAATATGATGAGGTGAGCCATGCCCAATCAAAAAGGTTTATTTATTTATTTTCCCCTCATGCTATTTTCTCTTTTTCTAGCTTACTTTTGGTTATGTGCAATTTCAATTAGGAATTTATATTCAGTCCTCGTGGAGTAAAGCAATTTACATGCAGATGGCTCCCACATAATCAAGGCCCAAAAGCCTTAATCTTCATTTGTCATGGTATAAAAAAACACTTATATTGATATTTCAATTTTCAAATTACTTCCCTTATAATTCTAATGATTGCAATTTAAGCTGCAGGGTATGCAATGGAATGCAGCATATCTATGAGAGGTACGTAGTTCTTTAATTTCTGTCACAATTTTAATACATACTTAGATTTTGGTAACAAAAGAATACATTGTAATGATATTTTCCTTTTATTTTTTTTTATATTAGATACCGGGATTAGACTTGCCAAAGCAGGATTTGCGGTATACGGAATAGACTATGAAGGCCATGGAAAATCATCAGGACTCCAGGGATACATTCCAAGCTTTGATGGTCTTGTTGATGATTGCTCTCACTATTTTATGAGCATATGTGGTACTAATTAAAAAAAAAATTCATACTAAATTAACTGCATTTTTTCCAAGAGAAATATGTTCACATTTTTGTTCTTTCAATTTGTTAGAGAAACAAGAGTATAAAAAGAAGCAAAGATTTTTGCTAGGAGAATCCATGGGAGGATCTGCTGCCCTTCTTCTTCACAGAAAGCATCCAACCTACTGGCATGGTGCTATTTTGGTTGCCCCCATGTGCAAGGTATTATTTTAAGTAATCGATTAGAAGTTTTCTGATTAATCAATAATTAGAAGAGTTAAAAAGACTGGTGTGCCCTTCCAAGCCATCAATTATATGATCAAGATATGGTAATAATTTGGGCTATATATGTAGCGGTCTGGATATGTGCTGAGGTAGAGATCTAATTTTCTTTTATAATAATTGGAGGACCCAAGAATCATTATTCATGATACAGTGATTATTGTAGCATTTTCAAGGAAATAGTACTATAGTATATGCAGGATACTGTAGCATTTTAAAAAAAACAACGGTAACATAGGTGGGAGACTGTAACATTAAAAAATATATTGTAGCAATTAAAAACGAGATTACTATAGCAATAAAAAAAGGAAAGGTCGTGCTTCGCACGGGGCACACACTAGTATGTTATAACCAGCATCATGCAGGCCCGGCCCAAGAGGGGGGGTAGGGGGGCGACCGCACAGGGCCCCATTTCAAAGTAAGGCCCAAATTTTTAAAAATGCCCATAGTATATTTCTTAATTCTTTCCAATAAGTCTTTTGTTTGTTTAAAAAAGGGCTTAATAATCTAATACTAGCCCACTAAATTAAATAATAATTTATGTCCATTGCCTAAGCCTAACTGCCTAACACCCATGACCCATCTGATTTACATTTTACCGGAAATATACACCAATTAGTACTACAATTATGATTAGTTGCTCGTTTGTCTCCTAAAGTTTAGGAAATTCAATTTGAACTCATTAATTCCCAATTAACTATTCCCTATTAACTAGGAAACACACCAATAAATATAATTCAATAAATTTATAGTTCAACATTTATATAGAAGAGGGCCTCGTTTTATCATTTCGCACAGGGCCTCAAAAAAGCTTGGGCCGGCCCTGGCATCATGTATGACATATCTGTTTTGATTTACTCAGAAAATTTTATAATTATTTGTTGACAGATTGCTGCAAATATGAGGCCACATCCAATGGTGATCAGCATCTTGGACAAGTTGTGTAAGATCATACCGACATGGAGAATAACCCCAACTCAAGACATTATTGATATTGCGTTCAAAAACCCTGAAAAGAGGAAAGAGGTAAAAAATAATTTTTTTTTTAATATTTTGTGATTTTAAATTAAAATATATTGAGATGTTCGTTAGTCTTTTTCTCGACAGGTTAGGGGAAATCCGTACTGTTATAAGGGAAGGGTAAGGTTGAATACTGCCCGTGAGCTTTTCATAGTGAGTTTAGATATTGAAAAGAATCTACAGCAGGTAAATTTATGTATCCCTCTATTTAATTTATGTGCATTATTAATTTTAATATATAGGAAAACTAAAAAGGTAATATATATTCAGTTTATATCTTGATTTGTAGAAAATCAATTACTTTTTAATTAAACGTAACAGAAATTACTTTAGTTTAGTTCAAGACATGCAATCAATGAAGAAGGATGTTTTTGTAATTGTCTTTATTGTACATGAATTAGAGGTACAATTAAACATGGAAAATCTTTGTTTATATTCTTAGCCTGAGATTGTGCTCGGCATGATGGATTTTTTGGTATCATTGTTTGTAGCTAGACCCAATTTTTCATTTTTTTAAGATTGTAGCCATCATAAACATAGCTTGGATGTAGCATCGTGCTTACTTTTAAGCCATGTTGATTAAATAAACAAAGATGATTGTCAGCTGTATAATATTATAAATATATTGTTTTTAGGATCAAAGATATGTTAGCTTAAGGCATCATCGTGACCATATCTGTAACAAATCTAAACAGAAAATTGAAAAGCCCAGATGTTCTTCATATAATTTAAATTTGGGCTAATTGTGGATGACCTCCTCGGTTAAATATATTGTTTTTAGGATCAAAGATATGTTAGCTTAAGGCATTTACAACATATTTTAAAATAAATATCACTGTCAAAATAATCTAAATAAATTCTATAACCCATGAAAAGAGTCCACAGCTTACTTAAATGGACGAATATTAGAATATGAAATTATAATCCTCAACTTGAGGGGGGAGGAGGGGGGAATACTTTAAAAGATGGATAAAATTTGATGGTAAAGTTTTATTTTGTTTTCACTCATAGTTTAACTTTAATGAGAAAGTATTTCTCCTATGATGGTATTAAGCTTTTCCTAATGCTCAAACTCATTCTCACTATAAACTAGATATATGCGGAGTTAATTGCGGGCAGAAATTAAATGATCGAGGTTGGTAACGTTGACAGTATGCTCGTCTCATTAGAAAGGAGATTTCTTAAGTTCTAAGTTCTATATCAAGGCTAGTTGTAATCTATGAGCATCATGTTCTTGTCTAACGTACGTTAAAATTAAATTAATGGCTCTATTTAATTCTAATTAGGTCTCCTTGCCCCTTTTGGTTGTTCACGGTGGGGATGACATCGTGACCGATCCCTCAGTCAGCAAACTATTATATGAGTCTGCGTCGAGCAAAGATAAGACGTTCAAGTTGTATCCTGGGATGTGGCATGCGCTCACCTCCGCCGAGCCCCCAGAGAGCATTGATCTCGTCTTCTCTGATGTTCTATCTTGGTTAGGCGATAGAACTGTAGGCTCAGACGAGGCAAGGCTCGAGTTGGAGAGGAAGACAAAGCACGAAGAAGATCCATCATCAAAACTTAAGTAATAATGACTTTATTTATTCGCAATAATGCTTATTTTTGTACTATTTTTTACCCAATTTGTGTTACAATAGACTAAAGAAAACTCTACACTGCAAAAATAGTACCAGAAGTGTAATATGCAGTTAATGCTAATGAGGATAGGATAGCATTTGGGTGGTGGTCATGTTATAGCTCCTTTTAATTTGTGGTGTTTATAGGGATTAGATTTAGAGGGACATTTTGATTGGAACGAATGAGATGTTTTTGTTTGTACATATTAGACTAGTTTTTATTGTTTAGAAATTTTGTCAAGATTCTTCAATAATTAATGAAACAGGTGAATTTTGTCACCCAAAGAGAAAGAAACTAAAGTGTGGGCTTAATTAGAAAGCATTGAACGTGTTTTTTTATTATTTGGTTGGTGAGGAATTACAAGCGAAACGACAGTTAAATACGGAAAATGGGTTACTTTCTAATGTACGCCTTAAATCATAAGTATTTGCAAAAATATCCCCCTGAATCTCAATATTTGAAAAACCAGCCTTCAATCATTACTCACTAAGATGATGATTTGCTGATTTTAGCTAGGGTTATTTTTTTCTCAAAGTTGATGATTTGGGGGTATTTTTGTAAATACTAAGATTAATTTGGGAGGTAGTTTTGCAAATACCCATGATTCAACGGATATATGCAAATAACCAAAAGAAATTGAATTGTAACTGTTAGTAAATGACATATCATACTCTCCTACTTTTTTATTTATGATTTATGTAGAAGACACTCCATGTCTTTTTTTTTTCCACTCGTGAATGTAGGTATGGAATGTTTTTTTTAAGTTGTTGCCGAGCGCTTTTTTTTCTTACTAGTTCTTGTGCACGTGTAATGACACGTGGTTAAATTTCAAAATTATTTATTATTTATATTTTTTTTACTATAAAATAAGTCAGATTTATTTTGAACTAAAATCTATAAATATGGATCAGCGCATTTCTCATAAATTTAATTTAAATTTTTTATAAAAAACCGTTGTGCACGTGTAACGGTTTTTTTTTTCTCTTATTGATACTTTCTCTTTGTTTGAGCTTGTTTCGTTAAGTTTTGAAGACTTGTCAACCCCTTTTCGCAGCCCAACGTCAAATTTGTTCTTTGCTTCAGTGGAAGGTAGGTCTGTCCCTTCGGGCGGGCCCGGATCGGAAATCCAGGTCCGGGCAAAACCGGAGCCCGGACCCGAGTACCCCGGGCCGGGTCCGGGCCCGGGCCGGCCCGGTTTTTTTCCTTTTTCTAAAATTTTTTTATCATTTTTTTTAAATTTTATTTAAATTTTAAATTATAAAAAAGACAAAAAAATAATTTTATTTATCACTTAAAATGACATAAATTACAAATAAAAATTATAAAAATGAATTCTTTATTAATAATTAATAAATCATTTATAAATTATAAGTATAAATTTATTTTGGAATTCATCGCATCACAATAGATAATTACATCTCAACTAGGTTTCTTTAAATTTCTTTTCTTTTTTTTATAAAAAAATGCTAAAAATTAGTTTAATATTATTATATTTTATATAATTATGTATTAGTATATACTTCCAAATTATTATGTAACTATATATTATATATACATATATTATATGTAAATATATTGTATATATTTATAAGTTATAACTTGAGAGAGAGAGAATCGCATAAGTAGCCGTTGCCCGTTGGGCCAATGGGGAAGAAGTAGTTGTTGTAATATACTATACTTATATACTAAGAGAGAGAGTATACACACACACATATTATATATATATATAATAGAGAGTATACTTATATAATATGGAGTATACATATATATGAGATAGTATACTTATATATACATATATACTTATATATATGTATACTTATATATACATATATAAGAGAGAGTATACTTATATACTTATATATATGTATACTTATATATACATATATATATGAGATAGTATACTTATATATATGTATACTTATATATACATATATAAGAGAGAGTATACTTATATACTTATATATACATATATACTAAGAGAGATGTTATATATATATAATATATTATATATATATACTAGTATTATATAATATACTTATATATATATATATATATATATATATATATATTATATATATATATATATATATATATTATTAGATTATACATATATAAGAGAGTATATACTGGTATATTATACCATACTATACTAGAGAGAGAGTATATGATATACATACATACATACATTATTATATATATATAAGAGAGAGTACTTCTGATATATATACTGATATAAGAGAAAAGGTATACTTATATATACTTTACATAGTATATTACTTATATAAGAGCAGAGTATATATACAACACACATATGACATATTTTGTATACATATATAGAAATATATTATATATACATATATTATATATATACATATATTATACATATATAAAAATATATTATATATACATATATTATATATATTTATATATACATATATTATACATATTAATATAATATATATATAAAATAAAAAATAAAAACAATTCAGGCCAGGCACAAAAGAGCCGGCCCGGAGTTCGGACTTGGCCTGGGCTTCCAGGCCGAGGCCGCGGCCCGGCCCGGGCCGGGCCGGCGGACTTTTTGCACACCCCTAGTGGAAGGTCACACCTCCACCCACGAATTTGGACAAAAGCATGCCTAATGTCATTTCTAAAGCCAACAAAAACCTATTAATTTCTACAACAAAAACAAAGAACCTATTAATTTCCATTTTGTTGTTTCTAATAAAACCAAATTTTCATAAATACGTTTCTCTACAAACACATAATTAGTCTACCCCTTTTACACGTAATCACCAAATGCTCGTATCAAATTTCATTTGGTCCCTGAATTCATTTTAAATTTGATAACTGCGCTAATTATGAAATGTGTGTGTGTGTATTCAATAAAAAATCTTAAATTTGTTGACTCTCTCTCTTCTTTTTTTCTAATCATGCTGCGTTCTAGTCCAAATTGCTTACGCAACTAAGCCACTAAATGTACCACTTGCTTCAAATTGTCTTGGCCTTCAATTGCCGTTACTTCTCGAGTCAATTCAAAAGAAAATTAAAACTTAAAAATTTTTGGCACACAATACACTAAGTTCCCTTGAAGACCTGTCGATATCCCTGCATAATTTGACTTCATTGATTACATTTTTTTTTTTTTGTTAATAGTATTCTTGCAAATGACTCTACATATAACAACCGTATGGTAAAAAAGTCTTTGCGAGGTATTCAATAAAGATTGGATGATAAATAATGACTTGAACAAATCCACAATAAAGAGCTCATGAATAATGTGGATTATCACTATCATGAAAAAGAGGAAAGAGAAAAATGTAACCACTTGATGCATGCACTTCAATTAAACAATATTTACTCACTATTTATTTCAAATATTTTCATCCACATAACTTTAATCCTGGGATAAGGTGAATAAGATACCCCTTATCCCAATCTTTACGCTGTACATCAACTTGCTTTCATTATTGCTTGATAAACAACTAATTGTAAAATAAATCACAAATGACTCTTATCCTAATTTGTTTCTTTGCATCATAACAATAAATTGTTATGATCGACTAGTTGTCTTTTCACTACATTTTGGTCAAAAATATACATATCCTATCAAAATATTTTTGCATCATGAATTGCCTTGTGCTCCAACTCGGATTTGAGATTTATCGTCATTGACCTCTCATCTAGCCAAGTGATTATATCCGAGAATACAAGATTAATGTTCTCCTGTGATTCACCAGATGTTAATGCATGCCACATTTTTGGATAGAGCTTGAAAGTTTTATCTTTGCTCGATGCAGTCTCATACAAAGATTGACTGACTGACGGGTCTGTAACGGTGTCATCTCCACCATGAACGATCATGAACGGCAATGATACCTAAAAAAATAAATTTCAAAATAAGTAGAGATAACTTTTAAGAAAATAACATATTTTAAAGAGGTAGAGAAATTTACCTGATTTAGGTTCTTCTCAATGTCTAGGCTAACCATGAGTAACTCATGACCAGTCTTTAGGCGAGGCTTGCCTTTGTAGCAATAAGGATTATTGCGGACCTGAATTATATTATGATAATAAACTACAATTAGTTATAATTGAGAAATAAAAAAATAATGAAAATTTTATTTTTTTAATACCTCTTTTCTCTTTTCTGGATTCTTTATGGCTTTGTCTATGATGTCTTGGGTGGGAATAATTTTCCATGTGGGAATAATTCTACATAGCTTGGTTAAAACATTTATGACCACTGGATGAGGCTTCATTTCTTCAGCAATCTGAAATAAAAAGTCGAGTTGACTGTCAAACAAATAATTTTTTTTGTAACTAATTATTTGATTAAGATTAACTCCACTAAATATTGATAGTCATCCTGTTTTTTACGTAAACAATTGTTAGGAAAATCCCTTTCCAATTTCATAACCTATGTAATAACTAGATCCATTATAGTTTAATTATGAGATAATATTCAATGGTTTTTATTCATTGCATTAATCGTGCATCAAAGAGATGTTCATTCTTGGAACCTAGGAATTAATTCAATGATTCATGGATAGACATTCATTTGATGCACCATTAATATAATAGAACGTCAAATTACTTCTTGTTTAATTATAAATAGATTATTATAATATTAGTTGATAAGAAAATAGAGATTGGAAGTTGAGAAGGAATTAAACCTTGCACATAGGTGCAACCAAAACAGCTCCATCCCAATAATGGGGCTTCTTGCTATGTAACTTTAGGACCACAGCTCCTCCCATGGACTCACCGAGTATAAATCTCTTCTTCCTCTTGTTCTCCTTACTCTCTGTAAAAGAATGAAAAATACAAATCAAAAATGGAAAAAAAAACACTGAAGAAATTATTTCTTTAGTAAACTTAATAAATTAAAAAGGATACAAGATATGAACGGTTATTTGTTCTGATGTGACTAGCAAGATGGACCTCCACTAATCTATCGCTAGACAGTCTATTTAGGAAAATGAGTTGTTATCTTCTATCGATTTTCTTCTAATTAAGATTATCCATTATTACTTACCGCAAATATTTGTAAAATGTTCAGAGCAATCGCTAACGAGATCATCGAAACTGGATATGTATCCTTGCAATCCAGAGGACTTTCCATGGCCTTCATAATCAATCCCATACACTGCAAAGCCAGCCTCTGCAAGTCGAATCCCAGTTCCTTTAAAAAAAATAAAATTAATAAGTTTAAATTTTTTTTCCCCTCATGACAAAAAAGGTTATATGACCATATTCGGTACTTTTTGAGAATAATTAGTCACCTTTCATTGAGATGCTAGATTCCATGGCATAACCTATGTATACAAATTAAGCATATATAAGAACATAAACATGAAATTAGATACATGTTATACTATTATCCAATTAAGTGAAATTAAAAAAAAAAAAGAAGTTTAATGTATAATACCATGGCAGAGGAAGATCAAAGCTTTTGGGTCTTGGTTTGTGGGAATCCATTGGCATGTGAAGAGCTTCAATCCTCTAGAGTTGAGAATATATTCCTTGAATATTCAAAAGTTTGAGAACTAGAGTTAGCTCTAGCTAGCTATAAGATCCTTCATTAAAAAAAATGGGGGGGTGTGAAAAAAAATACTAACCTCTTCATATTTGATGCTATTCATATTTAGAATGGAAGAAGGTTTGGGTTTAGGGTTCAAAGGAGTTAAGAGTTTGTGAGTTCGAGAGAAGAAAGAAGTTTGTGATCAAATACTTCAACTAGTCATCTTTTATTTAAGGGCTTCGTTTAGTCTTAGGTCCCTTTTCAAAGGAGGCAAATGGGTGCTCTTTTTGGTGGAGTCAAATCTTTTGTGCGCACTTTTTGTAGTAACGACCCTCCTCAAATTTTATTATAATGCAAAGGCTACGTTGTAATGTTTAGAGTATACATTTTTTTTGTTCAAAATTAGAGAAATGTTCTTCAAAATACAAAGGTACTAAACTATAAGTTATATATTGGGTTTAAAGTACAACTTTTCAAAAAATATTTTTTTTAGCATATGATTAGACGTTTTATTTTTTTCCTTTCTTTCTTTTTTTTCGGTCTAAGCCGCAATGTGTCCATATCCTATTGGATGGGACTAATCCATGCTCGTGCTTGTTCGACGAGAGTATGCCAGCCAACTAAGCCACCCACTATAGAATTTCATATCTAAATGTTGGTGTTTCTAGTCCCTAATCATTTCTTGCATCTCCAAACACAACTCCCAAATCAAATGCTTCATAATAATATCTAAATCTTTTAATATCTAAGTAACAAATTTTGCAGGCTTAAGTTATACATATATGACAAAATTAAAGTCGTATTTATTGTGTCTAAAATCTTGTTAGCTCCTTTATTATCAGAGCAAGCCAAATGTCCCAAATCTGAAGAAAGGGCAAAGGGATAACAACAAATTGATTCAAGAGTTTGTTTGGGTCCTTGGTTATGTTTTAATAGGAGCATCTATTGACAAAAAGTGTCAATATTCCAATAAAATGATATGACAGTTGTAACGGTTTGGATGGAACATTTCCATGTAAATGTATGTATAAGTTCAGATATATTATATTTAAAGGAATAAATAGCCAAAACTTAAACAAGTCTGGTACTTTTTTATCCAAATGAACTTTAGGCCTCAGAAAATCTCCAAACGAATTAACAAAATAAGATCTCCAACTCAGTAATCTGATAATACGATATTGCTTAATTAATCACTTTGCGTAGCCAATTCTGATTAATCAAAAAAAAATTCCCCTCAATTTGTTTCGAATACATATATCGGCTAATATTGACATGTTCTTATTTTCTAATATAATAGAAACAAAACAACACAGTGAAAATGAAAATTGAATGCACAATACCATTTAATATTTCTGAATAGAAATTTCAAATACAAGAAAATTCGAATTAAGTACGCTTCCAAATACAAAGAAGGCGTTACTGCTGATATCATACCAATACGAGGGTACTATACATCCAAAATTAAAACTTGAATTTCTGAATCAGAAATATATACATTAATTGAACATTATCTACTACAAACCAACTATTTAGAGACACGAATGATTTCAATATGTTTCATGCTGTCAAAGATACCTCATAAAATCACTAATTTTTTGCCCTTAATACATGGTTAACAAAATGTAAAGAGAACCCATCAAAATCCCAGTCATTTCACCCTAAACAATAAAAACTTATGTTGTAATTTTGTATTAATATCCACGGTTGTTTCTGAAAAAAAATTATCCACACTACAAAGTTCCAACATTTTTTTTTTTTTTTGAATCGGAGAAAAAAAAAAAAAAAAAAAAATACTACTTCTTCTCTAACAAATCAAGGGAGTGTCAAACCAAAGCAAGTCAGCAAATAATTAAGAGGTTACTTAAAGAGAGTCCAACGTCACGCTTTACATCAACATCTCCCAAGCCCTGTTCACACCCGACCCATTTTTGCTTCTAGAAAAAGAGGCTCGCCGACTCTCTTATGCAGCACTAGAATATTGTGCAAGAGACGCTGTGCATTTTGTAACCACAACGAAAAATACGCAGCTGGTTTTGGTGCGCAAGAATCACACCGTGTTATCTTTGACCGCCTCCAGCGCCAGCATTTGGACCGGCTGACTGAAGTCGAAGCGCTCGCTCGTGTTTTATGGGTGAGAATGTTGGGGAATTTCGCTCTCCCCGCCTACTATAAGATGTGCAGCTCCGAAGCTAACTCATAATCAATAAGATATAAAACGACCGTAATTAAGAAAAAAAGAACACCGGTATTTACGTGGTTCGGTCGACCAACTTCGACCTACGTCCACGGAGGTGCCAATACGATAAATTCACTATGTATCAGGGAGAACTACAAGAGGAACCACTCAACTCTCGTCTCTCAATCTCTCAACCTCACATATATAATCAACTCTCATATTATCTCGAAAGCACACTCCTAATAATTCTTTTGCACGGATAAAGATCACGAAACCCTCGCATCTCGCACAATATTCTTGAATCAGGCTACGCCATCTGCTAACCCTAGACTACAAGAAATTTGGCTCATTCTCTCTACTACATCTTCTCTCTACTCTCTTCTTCTTAGTTTTTCCTCGAACAATAGAAGAATATATATAGGGAAACCAAAACTCTATCTCTAGCCTAACTTTCTAATTATAATAGGATTCAAACTCTTAATCAAAATGGAACCCAAACTCCTAATCATGATAGATTTCTAACATTATCTAATTCTCATGAAGTTTTACAAGGAATTAAAAATACAATCCCAACAGAGAAAGCAAAGCGTTTGAGCCATGCAGCAGTGTATCCTTATGAGCCTCGTGAAGAAGTGCGCCAAAATGTGATTGCACATGTCCATTTTTGGTGTATAAAGATATCGTTTTGCATATCTAGTAGACATCAACCATATTCTTAACATTTTAAACTCGTTCATCAAGGGATTCTAGTTGTGCTTCTCTTTTATTTTTATTTTTGTTGGTTGTTAGGAACAAAAATTACGGTTTTAGTTATTGTCCATTTACGGCATATAAATCAAGACCGCATAGCGCAGTGGATTAGCGCGTCTGACTTCGGATCAGAAGGTCGTGGGTTCGACTCCCACTGTGGTCGATTCCTTTACTTTTTTTATTCGTTGCGATTAAAAAGTAATTAAAAATCAAGAAGAGGGAGAGTTGAGAGTTCTTACTTCTTACTGTCCCAACCTCAAAAATGATAACAAAGGGGTCCTTTTTGTTAATAAAAAGCGGTGGAGAAACAACTAACACTATTCAATAGATGATTGTGACTCTACCAGATTAGAAATAGAAACGAGAGCGATTTATTGTTATGCTTTGATGCTCCGAAAATAAGAATTTTTATAATTTTTAAATGGATGGAAAATTAAAATTTTGGGCTGAAAATAACAAGGGTGCATTTGTCCTTTTCTTTTCAATTCCTATCCTATTATTTCTCTGTCCATAACCACTTCACTCACCTCCCTTGTTTCACGTTTACTAGGTGAATTGCACACGTGCAATGCACATGGTATACATTTTAGATTTAGTTAAAATTGATAATTTAGTTTAGCCTAATTTGGAGCTTATATACATGTTTAAACAAACATATAAGAGTGTAATTTTCAGATTTTTATTTTTCAATGTACAAAAGAATATAAATCAATACAATTTATTACACTTATTTCTAAATGAATATTTTCTCGTAAATGGGGTATCAAATTGTTAATGTTAGTATGTAGAAAGATCCTCTAACTTAGTTCTAAATCTTTTTAGTGAAAATATAAATAAAAGTGTAATTTTACAATCGACAGTTAATTTTTTATTCCTCTTTATAATGATAAGAAAGGAATTGACATATGCATGTTATGCATAATTTTATACAATATGACTAAAAGCAAGAACAATAATATCTATTTTAAACACAACTTTGCATTATAATACCAGTTTTTTGTCATAAATATGGAAGGAAAAATAGAAGAGAGAAATCTAATATGATAGAATACAGCCAAATTAGATTTTGTTAAAGATCAAGTGAGAAATTAGTTGAAGAAAACTAACCCTTCTCAAATATTAGTTTTATCCTTTTCTATGATGTTTTCAACTCCAAAACTACCCTCTAAATTCAACCTATTTACAAATGTAGGTGTGGAAGGCCTATCAACCGCATAATCCCTTAAATTATAGATTAGAGAGCTAGATTTTAGGCTTTTCTATTTACAGAAGATGCCATGGAGCACCGAAGCTGTTGGCATAGAGCAAAATCATAACCATCAATTAAATAATTTATAAATACTATTAAAAGTAGTGATTGAAGAGTTCAACTCCGATTACGAACTCTTCTTCCACGTTTAATCGGATTACAAATTATTTAATTACTTCCACACTATATATTTCACATTCACGCGTATCAAGGATCAAGTAGGCTAAGTATCAACATTCGCATCCACACTTCATCAAAGCCTAAAAAAGATACTTCTACGCTCTATTTACGCTATTAACCTTAGGATTTCAAGTCGCCAGGGGGCCGATGGACAGAGGGTCACTCAAGGCTTCCAACTGTTTCATCATGTTCCACAACATACATGACATACCCTTTTGCAAAGTAAAGTTGCATCTTAAAAACTTTATTATGCATTTACATTTTAATTTCATATACGTTGGCGGTTGGCACAAGCTCATAAACCGGACATAAACACGTCATGGGGATCAAAAACGCTCCGCGCTGCGGTACCTCAGAGATATCTCATTGGGCAGCCAAAAGAAATCAAGGCAGAATACCAAAAATAGTACCCGCGGTCAACATCACATGTAAGCCTAACAAAGAAACAATCAGAAATGGATAGCCAAGAAATCTTCAAATAAGAACGGGGACAGTTTCCTAGTTGAAGTTCCAAATATGGACTCCCAAATAAAAAGGGAAAGGAAAAGGTACGATGTGAAAATATTAATGAAAATCAAATCCTGCATACTTAAAAAAAAAAAGAGATATGAAAAAATAAACAGCCACGCTAGCCCGGTATCAGCACAGACACAGAAAAAAAATGCACACAACAATAGATAATTGAAAGCTGTCAAATTGGAGATTGGAGACAATATCCTGCATGAGGTTTCAACAGATCTTGATCTCAAATACCCTAAATATGAGCCTCTGATTAACAAAACAAACTCAAAACTGAAATAACACCCAGAAATAAAGGAAATCAACCTAAGCTAATCTATGCCTTAATAGCATATTTCCTCTTTGGGAAATACATTTCTCTCTTCTTCTCTCGCTCAGTCTTCAATGATTCCTGAGGGGGGAAAAGTGAGGTTAGAGCAGGGAGAGGATAAATGATGGCAGAATAACGATGTTCATACACACAATAATATCAAATACAAAGATCTTATAAAATGTTTAATCTACAATTCTCTTTCTTTGGGAGAATAAAACCAAGAAAACATCACTAAAGAACTATTGTCTGAATGGTGAAAAGGCAATTAGAGCACTGAGTTACGGAAGAACAAAATCCTTGCGGATTGCAAAAGCTAACCGCTTGCACTTCTCTATGTGAAACACAACCCTCTTATACTTTTCTATCTAGTGCAAGAAGTAGATTTTCCTCAACTAGATCAGATCCTATAATTCACTTCAGATTTTTTACTAAGCTCAAGCATAAAAAATAAAACAGTGTAAACTAATTTAGGCCAAAAGGAAAACATGCATGAAAAACCCAGGGCAAATACAACAAGATTTGCATCATATAGAAACTGATCTTGATGATGTCCAATAAGAATGAATTACAAATAAGTTTCCTCCTTATAAGATTAGCTGATTATCAAAGGAATGCACAAGATCAAAGGTAGCATCCGCCGACTCAAATTGAACAGTATGCAATAAAATCACTGAATTGGTGAACACCAACACCAACCCCAATTATTTAAAACTATTGGTTGGCACTTGGGTATCCTAGTCGACCTTAATTAAAATGGGTTTACGTAGATACCAAAATGAACGAAAATTCAGACTGACCCTATCACAAGCTACCTCAAGCAAAGATGGTAAATTATAAACATTTCTTTCTATTCAATATCCTTTCTTTTCCAAGTTACACTCTATGATCCAACTGTCCATCAAAGTTTTCCTACTCTACAAGCAGATTCTATTGCTGATGAATATAAAGAGGCTAGAACAAGATGTTGACAAACCATAGGTGGTTACTTTGATCATGATCATTATTGCCATGCAAGAAAATACCAAACAGTTTTAACCATTGAGCTATTTAATTCTTTATCTGAGTCGATAGTAAATAAATGACTAACGAGGAGACACTAGGAAGGAAAATGTACATGGACAACACAAGGGATTTGGAGAAATTCCAATATCAAACCCAAGCATATGGATCAGTGTCTTGTTGGCAAACCAAGATTCAGTATGTCAGGTAGAAACTGAGTCTTATTGCAAATAGATTACTGTTAACTCCAGACTAACAAAATCGAATCACAATAAGAGAATTACTAAACAAATGTTTCCAATAATAGAATACACAGGCTGTATCACACTTTACATTGACATTTTAAACTTACGGGAGTATGTTCAACAAATTGTAAGTGTGTAAGTTACTTTCTTTTGCAAATGACTTGCATCCACATTAGCATACAAGTGAAATACTTGATTGTTTAAAAAAGGTTGTTGTCGAAAGTACAAATGCAAGAATGAAGCGGAAAGATAGGAGTAATTAAAAATTAAGAGGTGTTTGTTTGCATGCAAGTGAAAGATGAAAGTGAGAAAGTGATTCACTTTTAACACCTTAAGTGTTTGTTTGCATGCAAGTGATGATGAAAGTAAAATGCAAAAAAGTTGTCATGTAGGACCTAACGCACTTTTGCCTTCCCCTAAAAATATGATAAAATCACATGGAAGTTAAAAAATGTAGGCAATTTTAGTTAAACGAATTTAACTATATAAAATACTAAATCCTATCTTTACCACATCATCTCACAATTGTACTATCAACTATAATTTATCTTTTCAAACAGTTTATTTCACTTGCATGTTCACATGGATGTGAAAGTCATTTGAATAATTAAAGTATCTTCTGCACATCCGGTTCACTTTCAATTTGCCAAACACCACCTAAAGTCATTTAAGTAAAAGTGGCCCCCATTTTTCACTTGCAAGTGACATCAAAATCTTTTTCGCATTAAATCCTATGTGGCAACATTTTTGCAGTTCACTTTCACAATCACTTGCAAGCAAACAGACACTAAACGCGTTAAAAATGAGTCATTTTCTCACTTTCAATATTCACTTGCATGCAAACGAACACCCGCTTCAATGAGTGAAACAAGATGAAGGCAAACTACATACAGCGCCATTACAAATAAAATAAAACAAATGAAATAATGACACATTTGACCTTCCACTTCCTCAAAAAAAAACTTATAGTAGAAGAATGATCATTATGCATGTCATTGATGGCAAAATATTTTCTGATTATGAATCAGAAGCCAAGCAGGCTTCAGATGGATCTATGCTAGTATGCTCCAACAATCGAAGCAATGAGTCCATAAGGTGTTAACTGGATTGCATCAGATCGCGTATAAACTTACTACCAGTACCAAATTGTAGGATTAATTTGTTCTCAAAGATGCTATTCTATTAAAATAAGCATAAAGAAAATAGTTTGTTCATCACTAACGAAATGTTTTCCTTTTCCCTTATGATTGTCCTTACGAACAAATGTGTCCAAGAATTGTCTCGCAACTCGCCCAACAGAAACACAAATGACGATCAAGTAGTTAAGACTGTATCAATAGACCCTACTAGAATCTACATAGGTAACTTTGTTCTAGCAAGCATATATATAGTAAATTTTTTAAACAAATCCTAACAGCACAACAGAAGTTTATAATTAAGCACTTTCAGATATAACTCCTGAAAATTGAACAAATCTGTAACCATTATAGCTTCTGGACACAAAACTGGACCAAATGCAAACCTAACATATGTGCAACATAGAATCCCACCTTAATTGCAAGCACAAGCTCTGTATTTGAATCCCAAATGTTGGAGATGAATATCCACTCAGTGTGCAAGCATAGGGTTAACATAAATTCATAATGTTATGGAGCTACCAAGTCCTTTATTCTGGCATATGCCCTCTTGAGATTTAACAAGCTGCAATTATATTAGTATTTTTTAAGTTAAGTGACCTTAATCACCACATTAATGCACTTCTATGAACCATCACAATGTTAACTGTCCATGGGTGACTTCTGAATCATTATTGCTAATTAATCATGCAACAAACTCCACAACATATGAAAACTGTGCAGCATTACCAAGCATGATGGCCACTTAAATTGCTTAGATCTTCATTGGTAATGGATAAAAACAGAAAATTAGGAATACTACATTATAAGAAATCAAAAACTAGATCGTGATAATTAGTTACCTGATGCTTGGTGAGCTTCCTCCTGATGGCGCGAGTTTTCTTGGGCCTGAGATCCAAAGGCAGGAACTTTTTCTTCTTGTAAGCCTCCCTCAGCGCCGCCTTCTGCTTCTGCGAGATCACCGTCAGCACCTGCGCGATCCCGAGCCTCACCACCTTGCTGCCATCAAATACACGAGGGGGAAAAAATCTAAACAAAATTCCAAATTTTGAAAAATGAATCGAGAGGCGGAGGAGATTACATCTTGGAGAGCTTGTTGGGGGCACCGCCGGTGACCTTGGCGACGCGGAGGAGGGCGAGCTCCGCCTTGAGATCCTTGAGCTGGTTGAGGAGATCGGCCTTCGATTTCCCGCGCAACTCGTGGACCTTGATTCTCGCTGCAAAAAACGAAGAGGAGATAATGAGATTGGATCTCTGTGAGAAAAAATTCGAATCGAGATGAGACTTCGATTGAGTTTTTCTTTACCCATTGGGATTGAGATGGCGAGATTGAGCAGGAGGTGAATGGAGGCGGAGAGGAGAGGAAGGGGGAGAAAGTTGCTTAAAAACCCTAGCGAGTGACAAAACCCTAATTTCAGTGGGCCGGGTAGGAAACTTTGTTTTATTGGGCCACAGGCAAAATAAAGAAAATACACGATAGTTGATCCATGTATTGATATTTTTGAATATAATATCTAATTTTTTTATTACTTTCTTCTGCTAAAGTATTTGAACCTTTATTAGCTCTTGGAACGAAGGCTTGAAAATCATGCTAATATTTGTGCCCCATAATTAATTACGCGTCGTGAAATTAAAAAAAAAATATTTACACACATAATTCAATAGAGGATCACCAATCAAAGCAAATCTTTTGCCTTTTTTTTTGTTCATTCAGTTGACCCTGGTGCTAAGGTTCCATCATTTTCATTGATTTTCATTTGATAAACATAGATCTAAATAATAACAATGCTTAACGATTATTCGAAATGAAGAAATTTGTCATTTAATAATACAATAAAGATTTCTCACAAAAATAACAATACAATAAAGATAAAAATTAACATAAATAATTGTTGCTTTTGCAAGCCTTTCTGTTGCATATGGACAAAAATTGTCTCTTTTCGGATCTGGTGAAGACTGCAGCCTATCTTGCTCTTTTGGAACTGTTTTTGTAATTATCTTAGATTGTATTTTCATTCCGGCCAGCCCCCCTCCTCCTATTGGCTAGCTCCTGTTTTTTGTTTCTTCTCTCTTTTTATTTTTTGGCTTTTCTGGTATTTCTCATATGGACGGGTGGAAACTGGACAGATTTTGCCTGATTTGTGACGACAAGGTCTGCTCCCAACCGACAAAATCTTCTTTTGGCTATGCGCTTTCTGTATTTTGTAATGTTTGTAAATCTCTTTATGTTTTTATTTAATATATACATGAACAGGGCCTCTCGTTTTGTTTTTTACCTCAAAAAAAATTTGTCTCTTTTCATCTTATCCGTATATGAGAGAGAATATTTTTATTTTTGTATCATGTAACGTTTTCCCCCCCTCCCTATGCTTTCTCCCTTTATCTGGATCACGAACCATCTATTTTAATACCTTAAAAATAATTTTATCTTTATTATAAGGAGACTCCTAAGAATCCAATTGGTCGTAAGAAATTCAAGCAACTAACAGTAATGACAACTATAATAACAAAGAAAAAAAATTTAAAGAGCAGAGCTTTTCTGTTTTATTCTTGAAAGAGTTAAAAAAAAAGCTGAGCATGATGTTTTTTTTTCCTTTTTCTTTTTCCCCCCTCTCTCCTTAACAAGTTTGTTAAGCTACAGGTTACATTGATTTTATACGGCATCTACATTTTTTCAATATCCAATGGTTCAATGCTCTAATAATTAAACAACACAACAATCTCATTACGGTTTAGATAATTAAGTATCAGAAAAAAATTCTAATGAACTAATCAATTTGGATGACAACTTGATGACGAAGGCCTTCGAGGAAACTAACTTGGAAGGAATATTCTCCACGTATCCCAAGACAATGGGACTAGGGAAATGTATTTTAGGATAAACCCATTTGAAGTGAATAAAAAGATTCCATTTTGATACCCTTGATTTTATAGGAAGAATTCTTGTTCAAGGAAACATAGGTGAGGCAACTTGCATGACGACTCGGCGGTAAATCATCAATTCGAAGAAATTAAACAATTCGTAGACATTTTAAGATGTCTTTAGCAATGTAATTGCGTTTAAACCACATACTCCCATTTTTTTTTTCATCTTTCAGGTGCCTCGTGTTCGAAAATACTTAACATGGAGATCAACAAGTCAGAAAAACATTCTCAATCATAACACAGGAAATTAGGAAATTTATAGGCTTCCCAAATCTCCTATAGTTACAAATTTACCTCTGTTTACATCGCGAAGTTGATATGTGATTTAGAAGGGTTAAACTTAAATTTTTTGGGTCCCTTAATCATCTTTGATGGTTAATTCTTCTGTCCTAGATCTTTGAGCCGTACATCGCTACACAGACTGGCAGAGGTTAGAGGCACCATAAATTGTTTCCTTTGACACGCCCTTCGAGGATCAGGTCAATGACAGTTTTTAGTTAATGTGAAGAGAAAAACAGAGCATAATCTTGTTGACTTTTTAGGTGTAAAAATGTGTACCTTGAATTGGTGAAAAACACAATTATTTACAGAGGGTTTATGGGGGCACGTAGGTATTTTCAACTGAGTGCGTGCGGTATTGGTTCAGACCCTACTTTACACGTGCCGATGGCTGATTGGCCGAGTCGTTTTTGCACAATGATGAGACTGTTAGAGTAATTGCCTGTCCGAGGAGCTTTGAAGGCTCCGGATCGGAAGGTCATAATAGCTAACGTGTCATTAATTGCTAGATAACGACTAGGCAGCGAAGTGCGGGTCCAAGCTGTGCATCCATTAAATGCGGGATAACTTTTAATGACTCTTATCATGCCGTTTTACTATTCGAGGAGCCTTGTGTCAGATCCGAGTAGAGAACGCCTTTTGTCTCGGAGTCGGATAGCCATCAAGATCCGATTCGGAAGCACCTTTCATCTCGGATCTGGATCATGAGGCGAGTCGACTAGCTTATCATCCGAGTCCTGCTTACGGATGCTTTGAGAGTCGGCCAGTTAATTATTATGTGGCCGCTCTTATTGTTCTTGTTAATTTCTAGGGTGTGACAACCTCCAAATAAATAAAGAAAATTCTAATTTACCCATCAAAGTTAAGCAACACAGGCGACAAATAACTACATGGGCGATGAAGAATCATCTAAGATATTCAATGACTGCACTATGCAGCTCTTTATCCTGACCTGTTTTTCGCTTAAATTGCCATCTTGAACGTAAGTCAGCAAAATCTAAAACCAAATATTTTTTTTATCTCCTCAATTTATTCATGCGTAATAAATCTTGATCCTGATCAATTATTCAATAAAGAATATTTTTTTATCAAGCTACAAAGAATCCTGCTTTTTGGCTCGCGGGTGAACCGCGAGCCACCCAACTCGCAGAGGGGGGTACAGGGACAGTGGGCCCCGCAGAGGGGGGTACAGGGGCAGTGGGCCCCACGGCAGTGGGC